TATGCCATACATTTTTGCATTCATTCACAGTAAATATTTATTCAGTATGATAGCTGTCTAACAGAAGTTAAAACCATTTCTCACTTATTCTGACAATGTACTTAACCCCAAATAAAAGAACCCAATAAAAAGAGCTGTTAAATAATAGTGAAGTCATGTTGTAATAACAATAACTCATCTCTCTCTCTCTTTATTTTTCAGCTTTGCCAAAAGCCACTGTGTCAAGTGTCCTTCTTGGGTTGCCGTCCGGAGTTCTCCAATATGGCGGACCACCTCGCACATGCGCACTGCAGATCGGGCAGAGCTGCAGATCGGGTAGTGACACCCTCATTGGTCATGTGCGCGTTCGTGTGTGTTGGAGGAGGGGCTCTGTAAGGAAGTGTCAGATTTCTTCCGGCTCGTCCAAAATTACCTATCCCACCTTTAAATTCATACAAATAAATCATAAACATTTTTTAACATATCTTTCCAAATATTGAGCTTAATTTGATCTGAATAGTTAACTTTTCCATATTGTGATTTTGATAACATTTTGATTAATTATGCAGCGCTCATTTTTATGCTTTGACACATTTAGTGATGTCATGCACTTGCTTGTGCTGCTATAGACTAAAGGTCATGTCTTCTGCCAATGGTTCAATCTCAGCGGTGCCTTCTTACAGCAGTTACACAGATCTGTATTTACGAGTTCATCGTTGTTGGTGTATTCACACTGGGACGGCAAGAAGAGCTTCCACTCCGTTTAGTGCGGCTTGTCATCGCCTCACGTGTTAGTAATGCTGAGTTATGTTTGGGGGGCGTAGCAGAGCCAACAGCCGGGCCTTTGCTCCTTCAGATCCTGCAGGAGAGTTATTTCTGGGTACCAAGGTTAAGCTGTGTCACGAGTGAGAATCGTCTGTGGGAACAGAATCCAGGACACATGAAGAGCAGGGCTTCTCTTTAGCAGCCAGAACAGCTTAATCTGCGCTGTATTTGAATGAAGGTGACTTTAAATACCCTGAACAGAAATTGTTTTTCCATGAGTTGCCGTGGTAAACATCTAAGTCTTTATCTTTGCACTTGGGCTGCTTGATTAATCGTATTTGAATCGCAATTACGATTTTGGCTTTCAACGATTATGAAAACAACATAATCGAAATAAAACGATTATTTTTTGTATTATTTATTTAAAAAAATAAATATATATATAATTTTTTTCATTGGTTTTTCAATTGAATTATACTTAAAGTTCAGGGTAATCAACTGTTAAAAACATACTACACTTTTTTTTTATATATAAATTGATGTTTTCAAAGTAAACGGATAATCGTTTTTAATAATCGTGATATCAATTATTGACCCAAATAATCGAGATTATGTTTTTGCCATGATCGAGCAGCCCTACTTTGCACACAAAAGGCTTATTTCTGTCAAATATTGTACACAAATGTGTTAAATTCTGTGTTTGTGAGCAAAGAGAATCTGTTTTACCTGACCGGTAACAGCATGATTACTAGACAGTTTGTCCGTGGGCTCGTGGCCACTCTCAAAATGCATAGATTTATCTTGAAAGAACACTTTATGAGGCAATCTGAATTTCAGATTTCACATAGCATGGGCTACGGACATGCATTTGTCTGTGGTCACACAGGATTGATCTGTGAAGAGAACAATTTGTTGTTTACGACGCTCAGCTACAATCAGGTCACTGACCCTTGTGAGAACATGGAGCACGCAGACGAGTTCCTTCACGTGTTTTCTGGCAGTTTGTGCAGAAATGCTTTGGTTGTGCAAGCCAACTGTTGCATCAGGTAAAGAAGCTGGATGTGGAGGGACACACTTGATCTAGCTTTGGAATGCCTGTTGAATGTACTTCTTAATTTCTTGGAAACGACATTGGAGACGGTGTTTGGAAGTGATATTAACCTTCATTCATGGGCAACAGCTCTGGTGGGCATTCACAGTCCTGCAGGATGTCAATGGCACGCTTCGTCAAAAATAAAAAACTTTTCAGGTTTTTATTTTGACCGCCCCGAAGCACACCTTATGATGCTGTTCAATCAACATCTTGATATGCCATACCTGTCAAAGGATAGAATATCTTGGATGACTTTTTAACAAATGTGTCAATCAATCAAAGTTATTTCTTTAGCCCACTATCACATATTTACATTTTTCTATGGGGGCTTTACAGTTTATACAGAATATAATACGGTTGGCGTTTGATGGGAAACACGATCCTCCATCTGTTTCTGGAGGCTTTGCCCCTGGAGTCAGCTGTTAGTTGTGGGGTCAGGTTGGTGCTGGTGGTGTTCGATGGGGGTGTGAGACTATTCTGATGAGCGACACATGAACCAGCTTTGGCTTCATCCACCGTGTGTGTGAACTTCCTGCATCGGCAAGTTTCTTCCACTTCTTCTTGGTTGTCTACACTTCACACCTTGCTCTTGGGCTTTGGCTCAGTTGGGGAATGACATCTTATGTAACAGCCTTAGTTCTTTTCTGCTATCGGATCAGATAACGGATAAGCATTGAGTGACCGCACGGCTCACACACACCCCTAATATTAAAGGACTTGTGTTGCAAGTGCTATTTGGCAGCTGTTAACGGTTGGGTTTCTGGAACAAGATGATTAGAAATAGATCCATTGTTTTGGTGTTTGTTATGATATTGCTGATGAGTGTTCAGTCAGACTGAACAGTTTTCAATCAATTGAGCGCAAGTTCAAACCTCAAGTAGTTTATTTTTGTGTACAAGGACAGTCATACAACAATCCTGGAACAAATACTACTTTCATGAAGGTTGTAATTGTTCAGTTTTTGTTGTAAATGGTTCATAGAGTTGTTGATTTAACTGTGTGTTAACTCTACAGTTTGTGTTGCTGTTAGAAATACTAGTGCTGCAACAATAAGACAAGTAATGGGTTTGAGGAACCAACAGAAAAATTAAATCCATTTAACCAACTTTTAATACTCGATCATTGGTTTAAGTGCGTTTTTATGCAAAAATGGCAGAAGGGGCTGTTTTCGGTCTCTCGGTTATTATGATAATAAGGTTCTTTGTTTTATAACGTATAATTCAACTGAACACATGAGAAAACAATTGTTAGTTGCCGCCCTACATTATAATGAGAAGTGTTTTATAATTGATATCTACTCTACTTATACTAAAGTGTTTCTGGAGCTTGAGTTTAATTTGGGTAAAGTGCCTTATATTGTTTAATCTTATCCTATACAGTGTTTCCCACAGAATTTGATTCTATTTGTGGGGGCACCGCTCCCAAGGTCCCTTAACCTATTCGGGTGGTCCATGCATCCACACCCCCCTCAAATAAGATAATACATGCGAGTTCATGGCTTCTGTAGACAACGTTCTTGTTGCTCTGTGTTGAGACACACCGGAGTTCAGGATCTATGGGGTTTTTTATTCTCCCAAAAATATAATTTACAATTTAGGCATTTAGCAGACGCCTTATTCCAAAGCGATTTACAATGACCAATTACAGGGACATTCTCTCTGGAGTAACCGAGGGCTAAGTGCCTTACTCAAGGGTACACTATTAGTGGTGTTCAAGGCAGGATTTGAACTCGCAACCCTCCGATCATCAGCCCAACTCACTATCCATTAGGCCAACAAAATAAAAAATAAATAAAAAATAGTTATTATAATTTCTTTTTTATAAGATCCATTTGTGGCGGACGATATTTAATTGTGGCGGCCCGCCACAAATAAATCAATGTATGGGAAACACTGACTCTATAAATCTTGCAAGAGGGTTAGGCCTCATACTCATTGTTAGAATCAGCTATTCATAATCTTTTAGATAAAACTATCCAACCCATTCTTAACTCCAACTCTTTCCAACACTTCTCTCCGCAACTCTTTCAGCAATGACTCAACTCACGCCAGACTTGTCCTTGAGCCATACTTGATTTAAAACATGAGAGAATACAGTCCAGTTTGAAAAATCGCCAAGTTACCCTTCAACGAGTGAGTTACGTAATGTGATACCCCACCTTTTTACGCATTTCAATAGCCCTGTGTCACCGCTGACCTTTAAAATTAAGCCTCCGAGTGATATCACGCTGGCCTCTATTTGCATCAAAGTTACATGCTCCATACTAATGAGCTGGAAATAGTGACATTATACATTTTACAGCCTCAAAAGTGAAACTCAGGGCCAGGCCAGTTCATGAAAGGCAAAATATTCGCCATCATTTAAAAAGGTTAATAATTTAAGAATGGGCTCACAGGTGCGCACCACTTCAGGATATCAAAGTGTGACTGTGAAATAGTAAGGGCCTCTATAAAAAAAATACTATAATATGATTGAAATGATAAGAGCACTTCAACAAAATGTAGTTTCGAGAGGGACGTTTTTACACTCATTATCTCAACAACCCTAAGTCGCTGTCACAGTGATGTTATCGTACAAAAGAAGCAACTTCCTGCACTACAGGGCTTTATACACACACACACGCAAACACAGGAAATGGCTGTGCTTGTTAGGTAAACAGAATTAGCATTACTGGAGGAAAGTGGGTAGAAGCCAGGAGGCAGAAGTAGGGGAAAGAGATGTTCCTCAAGATCAAATCAACTTGTCTCTTTTCACTCAAAAACATTTGTGTTGATGCGTAAGGCAAAAGGAGGCTAAGTACCTTCGGTAAGAGATGATGGAAACATGAAGTGATAATCAAAGCTTCCTGACTTCCTTTTCCTCCCAGGGCTCCCACTCCATCCTGCTGGGTTAAAACAGTGAATATGAAAGCTGCATTCAGCACATCTGAATGAGCATGCACTTGTGTAGGAATACTACAATTCAGCTGTCATGCTGCTAACTCTGTAGTTGTTGAGAGTGAGAGGACGAGGAGAGTATAAGGGAGCAGACAACACAAAGAGATGGAGCCAATAAAAGATTGCAGGGGCCTTCAGATCCTTCGCCTCCTCTCCTCCCAATCAGCAGATGAAAGTCAGATGACAAGCTGTCACTTCAGCCTTGCCCACTTCTCACTGCTCGGCACATGACTATGTCAGCTCTCACAGTTTCTCCCCCATCTCAGCACCACACAATGTATTATTTTTATTGGATGCTACACTTCTCCTGGGGCTCTGGCTACTACCTGTAAGTGACTGTTTAATATACTAATCTTACATTGACTTTTACTGTCTCCTCTCACCCAGGTGCTGTTGTGGTCGTCTGATAGGTCAGCACGTGGGCCTGCCCCCGGGCATCTCTAGTCACAATGATAAGGCAGAGCGTTTGGGCAAGAATGACAGCCTGTCAGAGAAATGGTCCATCAGCAAGCACACACAGATCAGCCCCACTGACGCCTTCGGCACCATCGAGTTCCAGGGAGGAGGACACTCCAACAAAGCCATGGTGACAACGAATCTACTGTGTTGCACTTTGTCAAAGCTTGCTTCTCGAGGTAGTCTCAAGGCAAAGAACAGAACGATAGCTCCTAAAATACACATCCAAACAACCCAGGCGTTACAGTACACTGGCTGTGATACCTTGTGTCAATAAGTGTGGTTTTGGAGGTAGAATTTAAAAGTGAGATGGATCACAACATATAGTTTTTTTATGGATATCAAAACAATATTTCTTCTTGCTGTAAGTCTTACAGTGGAAGAAATACCAAGAGTGTAAGCAACGAAGTAAATTCGGAAGTGCATATACTATAGAAATGTGTATTGTAGATGTACTGTATGTTCCTCCACTGCAGTAAATGTATGCAGTTTAACAGCAAACGGGAGGAATATTTGAGATGGTTGACTGACTGAAAAGATTTAAGCTCTTGATCTGGATGGTACAGTTATACCAGCTGTGTGAAACCATCACATGTTTTCCAAAAAGTGTGTCAAATGCTAATGACATGTAAAGAGGACTCATCCGGGTCGGTGTGTACCTTCTCAAATCCAGCTCCTTTTCCAATGAACCTTGCTAGATAATCAAAGTTGAAAGCATCATACATACACAACCAAAGTCATCCTGCCATGATGGTGTGAAATCAATCAAATGAGTGTAATTATTACCTCATTATATATAATTATACATTTAGAAAACCTAAGTGTCTAGAGACTGCAGCCCATTAAATTAGGCCTGATTAATCGATCCATCCCAAAAGCATTGGTAATGATACACGTTACTCACACAATCACTGCCTTCGATAGGGTGACAGATCACATCACACATGTGTTAGCATTCAGGGAGTTCACTTGGTTAAGGCTGAATAAAGTCTGATTTATTCCCAGTGTTAAATAATTCATCCAGATACATGTCAGGTTGAGAGTCTGAAGGATAAACAGATGCTCTGCGCTAACGCTTCTTCAATCATAGCAAACATCTGTTCAATACTGCTGAAAATGTAACGCCATACACTCACACAGGTCTGCATCACTGAGCCATGCGATGTATATCCATTTCATAATTTCTCCTTTACAGATTTGTTTCATGTTGATTTGTTTGACTAAATATAGTGTGTGTGTGTGTGTGTGTATATTCGCATTTGAGGTTATATGCCAGGGGTGTTCAAACTACGGCCCGCGGACCATTTAGAATCGTCCCTCAGCAAATTCAAAAAGTATAATGACTTAAAGTGGACCTATCATGCTATATTTGAATAATATAGTGTAGGACCATACCTATATAAGGCATATTTATACTTTTTATTTTTCAAAATACCAAACAGATCATGCATTTTAGCCATTCCTCATTTCACTCAATTTAACACTGTCTTTGAATGGGCTGATTCTGTGAGAACAGCACATGTGAGGTGAAACTACTGTGCACCTGGCATATGTACTACAGCGTCTCCAGCGCTTTCGAACGGCAATGTCCGTGGCTGTCTCCTCCTGATTGGTGGAGTTGGCCCAATAGCCGTAGCGCCACTTCTGTGACGTCATAGAAGTGTTCAAATCTGGATCAGTCTGTATCAGATCCGTTGCAGCCCCTTTTTAAGAGATTTGGAGGGAAAATAGAGAGGGTTGTGTTTTCTGACACTTGGTGAGTTCCCTGGAACACAGGGGGGGGACATGTTCATGTATAAAAGACGTACAAAAGTGCATTTTGCATGATAGGTCACCTTTAAGTATAATGATCTTCTAATCTAAGTTGATAATAAAAAAGCTCAATAACACATTTACATAACAACCTTGAAATAAACCCTTCATATTTCCTCGTATTATGAGCAATCGGAAGCTTCTGTTTTAAGGAATGAGCTGCTCACAAAGTAAATGAAACCCTATGGAGAGCTGTGGTGTAGGCTGTTTCTTACAGCCTTTTCAAGTATCAAGAATAATTCACCTTCATTGGATTGATTTTTCCAACTTATAACTGAACTTAAGAGGCCCTTCGTATATTTTTCTGTATGTGGCCCTCGGTGAAAAAAGTGTAGACACCCCTGTTATACGCTGATGCCACTGTGCTGTACGTCACTGACACGCCTCTCTGTTTCCAGTACGTGCGAGTGTCTTACGACACTAAGCCTGACCTGCTGCTCCACCTGATGACCAAGGAGTGGCAGCTGGATCTGCCCAAGCTGCTCATCTCAGTCCACGGGGGCCTGCAAAACTTTGAACTCCAGCCAAAACTCAAACAGGTCTTTGGCAAAGGGCTCATCAAGGCTGCCATGACGACAGGAGCCTGGATCTTCACCGGTGGGGTCAACACAGGTAAAGTACACCAAATGTAGGCAGCTTGGTCTGAAAACGAATGTAGAACTATCAAAGGTCCTGAAATACTGAAATTGTATGCTAAGTTTGATGAATATTTTTTATATTTTGGGGATTTTTTGGGCAAGAGATTAGCTTTATTTTCGATGCAGATTTGAAAGGGGGAGGTCATTACCTATTACTTTCACGTTTCGGAGTTGAACCTGCAGTGGAGACCACATATGGCCCACCAGCTCGAACCACTAATATACCCACTGGCCCATTCACATTTTTGGGAGGGCTTTTTTTATCTTTATAGATAATGGTACAGGAATGAGTCCTAAAACCCAAGTTAGCATGTAACCACTACGAGTCACCTTGTCTCAAAGTCAACTGTTTTTAGAACATGTTTTCGGTTATAGGCATGGAATAATGTCTGTGGCTAACACAAGCTGTGAAGATTTTATTCTATGACATAAAATAGAACAGTAAATGCCCCACCCGCAAATGTGTCTAGCTTCTATGTGTCATAAAAACGTGTAAGTATCATAAAGGTGTGTTTGCCACAGAGCGTATATCCTGCAATATCCAATAAGCTTTTTGTCGAGGGACTCCTTGTGATGTGATTCAAACACTGCACCATTTATTAGTATAGCTAAAGATAGTTAGCAAAGGGCCGCAGTAAAGACTCAGCCTTTGCACACGGCTCTACCATGACCGCTCTGGAGGTGCCCCATATTTGCTTTAATCTTGGTGCAAATATTTCTGTGCAGTTTAGGACGTTTTATCAGCAATACGCGGGCCGGCTCCCTCTTTACACACAATGAATGGCCATGCACTTGTGCTAGGAGGGAGAGTGTTCAAATGTTCTCAATATGTTATTATCTATTTAATAACTATTCATCAAACCCTTAAGAGCTGTTAAGATGTTAAACCACTGGATCATTGCAAATAGGTTATTTTTATGAGCACTCTACTATACTTAAAGACACTCAGAGTCAGACCAGACAAGTGAAGGGTGATTCTCTGGGATATTCTCTGGGAGTCTAGACTGCTTATTCTTTATCACCCTTAGTCAGTCAAAAAGATGACATTTAGACAAAATAATGATTTTTATTCCAGAAAATGTATGGTTATGATTATCTCATTACTTATTTGAAAGAGATACCTCGTGGTAATTAGTGTCCATCATGAACATATGCTTTTCAATGAGTTGTATCTCACTGTAGGAAATATGGGGTGTTTCTCTGTTAGAGTTTCTAAGAAATATGGTCGGATTAAGACTTTGATGACTAAGGGGATTTCTTTTCAGAGATACTGAGCAGCAGGATGAATTTGGCCTGGAGCAGGATTTACGAGGAGCTCTGTGGATCGGATACCGAGCAGAGGAGGGGTGGGAAGTGCTAAAGCTTTCCAGAGAGAAACAGTCTTAAGTCTGACAGAAACAAGACGATTGGGTTGTTTCTAAACGTGAATATACAAAAAGGACAGCTGACAGAAAGACAGCACATGGGCTATGCATCAACATGGAGTTATAATGCATAGTCAATTTAGCCATGTTTATAATCTTAGTAAGCTATGGCTAGTGACTGGAGTCCTCTAAATGGGTGAGATTGAATGATTTGCCGCACTTATTACCATGCATTAACAATGCTATCGATAATGCTCATGCAGTGCTGATCGACGCTTTGTTTGTTCACTATTGTTCTTGTGAAATAGAAGCTTTTTTAACCCGTAATACATTTTGCAGGATTTAAATAAGATCAAAGATGGGATGAAACATGTTTTAGGAGAGATAAGAACAGTTGGAAAGAAATCGTACGTCGTTGGATGATGTAGAGGGCTTACACTGGAAAAGAATAAACCATTTGAAGAGACAATGGGTGCAAAGGCAAGAACGAGGAAGAGAGAGGACTGAAAAGTGGATGGAGGGATGGATGGAAGGGACATTTCAGGACGGAGGTGGAAAAGGAAAGAGTGTCAGCAGAGGAGATGGGAAAAGATGGCTGCCAAGTCTGACTGCTGCTCCCTTGAGGACGACTATTAGAGGCCTGCAGCTATCTTTGTTTTAAGCTGTGTGTGTGTGTGTGTGTGTGTGTGTGTGTGTGTGTGTGTGTGTGTGTGTGTGTGTGTGTGTGTATTCACATTCGCTGCCTTAACCCTGCACCTCATAAAAGTTGGGGGTGTAATTATCTACGTTTACACTGCGTATTGATTGTCACAAAACTCATTTTGCTTTCTGTTTCTTTGTCCTTCTCTTGAACTCTTTTGCAAACACACCCTCGTACCAAACCAGGAGTGATCCGCCATGTGGGTGATGCGTTGAAAGACCACGCCTCCAAGTCAAGAGGGAAGATCTGCACCATTGGCATCGCGCCTTGGGGCATTGTAGAAAACCAAGAGGATCTTGTTGGCAAAGATGTAAGTCCCTGGGAACAATATGGTGCAGTTTTGGAGTGCCCTCATTTGCATTTAACATTTGCATATGTATATGTAAAAAAACGTTGCATGCAATCCATAGTTTCTAAAGCCTGTAAAAAATAGCAATTTGCAGTTTATTACCAGAAATACTGAGTTAGCTAATCCAATCCGTGACGAGCACTCCTCTAAGTGATTCGGACAGTTGGTGGAACCACATGAGACTGTGGAGCAGATGCTGACTCAGTCAAATATCTGGAATCAGTGTTTTGTTATGTTTCAAATGTTATGTGCAGCTCCATCCTACAGAACAAGTCGAGCAGAGCAGATTAATGTTGGTATCTGAAATGGATAATTAAGCAGTGGAGTTCTTTTTCCATGCTTGATCTGTCTCAACTGTACGCCTAATGGCCAGTTAAGTAAACCTCAGATTGTCATGCGCTTATCCACAAGACCAAATCCAATCTTCTGGGAAACTGTCATTAATATTCGATAAAGATTCTTCCAGTTTTAAATGTCATTTAACTTTTATAGCGGTACAATAAACATGCAGTAGCAGTAAAATAAGTGAGTGAATACAAAGATTGTATTTGTAATTTCTAATGTGTGTCATTTTGTGGACCAAATAAACATCTTTCTTTACTCTGACAGGTACTGTGCCTACCTTTGAGGAATCACAACAGACAGATTTTAAAAGCAGTTTTCAAAATCGGTGCAGGAACATTGTGACTTTTAGTCCTGCTTATGACCCAAATGATGAATACTACATATCCCATGATGCAACCAGTGCTGTCTCTAAAATGCTGTGCCCCAATTCGTAACATAGAATTGGCATTAAAACAAGTTTAGTGGCAATCCAAGTATGTTGAGCCCCCAAGCAAAAGCATGTTTACCAAATCAAATGTTAACGATTGGGTCACATTAAGAAAACTTGCCTTTGCTACATACCATATCATCCACGGGCTTCTCAGATGTTTGTGTAATTGTGATCCTCTCTTGGACAGGTGGTGCGTCCATACCAGACCATGTCCAACCCCATGAGCAAGCTGACGGTTCTGAACAGTCTCCACTCCCACTTCATCCTGGCCGACAACGGCACCACGGCAAAGTACGGTGCTGAGGTCAAACTGCGACGCCAGCTAGAGAAACACATCTCCCTGCAGAAGATCAACACGCGTGAGTGGAATTTACTGATCTACTTACGCTAAATCAGAAGAGGTGTTTCCAAATGACACAGGGAGTGATAAGGAAACAGTTACCTACCACACCACTGAGGGTTGATTGGGATCAAACTCAATGTTATTGTTTCAACCGGGCTAAAATGATCATTACCTGCTTTACACAGGACACATGCTGCCAGACAGCGTATTTTTAGTGCGCTGTGATCCAACTCGATGAGCCTTTGAAACCCTGCCTCCCTTCAGGAGGGGTTTATTTTTTCTTTCAAAGCTTCCTGACAGTTAAGATGAAGTCTTTCCTCAAATAAACCCGCTTGATAACCCTTGTCTCCCTGTTAAGGAGTGCAGAACAAAGCTGCAAAACAAGATAACAAGCACATAGTGACCAGCACAACGTCACTGTACATGTGCGTACATATCAATTATAGTGCAGAAAACAATACATTGAGTTGTTCCTATCCAAACAATGTGAAAGGTGCATCAGATGTATCTCTTCAGTATCTTTTTCTTTATTTTAGACTGGATTAATGTAGTACGCGTTCATTTTTTGTGTATTTTTCTACACTGACAAACACATAAATAACAGGGTATTGTGAAACACTGCTGTTAAACTCAACACAATATTTCATAATTCTGTCTTTAAGCTGTATATAAGTTGTGGTGCATCAAAGGTACATTAAGCTCATAAGAGGGAAGCCGGACTATATTTGAATTCTTGTTTTTTGTGAGACGCAGGTGTTAATAACCAATGTGTGCATGCGCCTGCACGTGCACATCATTTGCCTTTGATGGATTGTTCATCCGTTGCTGAGCCCTTGTCACATTGCATTTCTCCGTTTTCAATTTCCACACAATACCTTAGCTAAAAACCAAATGGATTTGCATGAATACAAAATGCAGTTCTCTCTCCCTCATTTCTCTTATTCTCACTCTCACACACGGCCACGAACAAAGACAAGCACACACAAACCTCCCTGATACCCTTTAAATACGATTCTCAATAGCCTCGGAAAGCATTGTGCAGAACATGTCAGGGCCGGATATAAACCTGAGTCGGAGGAATTCTGTTAGCACCCATGATGTATTTGTTATAACCTCATTTTGCTGTCGGCATAAAGCTGTTTTGAAATAATTTCCTCAGGGTTACATTAATACACACATCAATGCTTATTTAAAAGCACAGGGTCTAAGTAGATAGATGTAACCAAATGAATACATGGTCACAGTGTCAAGAGCAGTATCTTAGCCCACATTTTATCAACACCTTTTTTATTGACATCCAGACCGTGCACCAATGTTCCCTTTATAAGCTTTGTATAATGAAATGGAGCTTTTTTCTCTCTAACCACTTCCATATAACGACTTGATTTAATGGATTTAAGAAATGTCCCTACCGTTGACACAAATGTACTTTCTTCTTGGTTATCATCCCGTCATGTGACCTATGGACTTCCCTTTGTCATCCTATGCCTGGACTCATACAAAAGGGGCTGGGAAGGCAAAGGGACGGCCAGTCGTCACACAAGCATCTGACCATCGTTATGATGAGAATATTCACTGCCATGCCTAATGTGTCCATCGTCTGACTAGCTTTAACACATATCTGGATAATACGGCATAGGAACTACTTATATGCAATGTGATAGGTGACCGTGTGTGAGGTGTATATCCTGCTTACCATTCATAACACAGAGCCTAACACGACACAAAGGATAGGAAGGATACATCCTTTGTTGCATTTCTCGAAGGTTTCTTCCATTTTCTTCTTTGAGAGTTTTTCCTTGTACAACGCGAGGGTCTAAGGACAGAGAGTGTCACATGCTGTACAAACTGTAAAACCTCCCGAGACAAACGTGTAATTTGTGATATTTGGCTATGAAAAAGAGAACTCTGACACTAGCCTTACCTAAGCAGTGTCTGAAGTAACTAGATTCTATTTTACGACCATCCTCTGAGGTTGCCAACAGTTTCCACTTGAGGTGAAGTGATGTATCAGCAAAAATTGATGCATAGCCCTAATTAAAAGTGTTGTAATCATATTTCTTATGAAGTATGATCACACCAGTGTTTGCAAAGCAAGGTCATGCATTACTTGTTAGGGATTTTAGAATATTGTAGGCGGTGAATTTACAACATTATCCTAAGGCTAATTTAATTTAATATAACCACTCTGGTTATAACCAACTGGTGTTTAGCCAAGGCAAAACATTGACAGTGTTTAAAATAGAAAAACAATTTTAACAGTCTGTGTATCGAATCCCACTAAGCATGGAAAAAAAATAGTGATCCATTTGCTTAATTCGATTAATTATTATTCATGCAGACACATATGCACACATTTCTTATAGTGGAAATGTTGCTACGGTATATATTGCTCAGTATGTGATATGTATCTGTATAATGTGCTTTACCTTGTTATCCCCGTGTGTCCTTCACTTCCTCATTCACCTCTGAATGGTTGGTACACAAGGACCAATCCTTGATTTGATTACCTGTCCCACGGTCAACCGAGGAACGCATCTATTTTCCTCACCGCATGCCCCCCCGTGGGATCCAAGTGTAGCCTGAGGTTCTGTCAAAGAAGGCAGAATAAATAAGATATTTGACTTTGAATTCTCCCAACAAGTGGGTTTGCCATTTTTTTCTTCACGCAGTCACACACACTTCACACAAGATGAAAGAAGTGTGCTGGATAGATATGCGTAATCTCCCCCTGTGGTGTTTTTGTGATGTCTGGGCAATCCTGTAGCTAATCCTACTGGGCCACCATGCGAGTGTTGGAAATGCTGTAGCAATCAAATTGGCTCCACAATATTATAACACAGTTTATATATATGACAAATGTGAATGTGTTTTTTTTTATACGCTCTGGATATAGCTTTGATATTGCCAACAATGCTTTAACAAATCTTCTAGGTCGTGATGAAACCTCGCAACATTTTGATTTCCTGTTGCCAAAATACATTTGTGTTCATTTGGCATATTGCTCCCTTCCATTGCAAGTTATGGCAGCACCAATGGCACCTGTCAGGACTCATCGTTGGAGCACAGTTGGGCACATCCTGAACCGCCAACACCTCCCGTGGTGACAAGACATGTGTAGTCCCTCTGCATGCTTCCTCCAGTGTCTACTGTATATTTGATGATGTGGAAGGTGTCGGTCTCATGTGGTTTCGTGCCATCTTCAGTGGACAAGTGTATCTGACGGACAGCTCTGGCTCAGGGTAAACAAAGTAAATGGCTTGAGACAGGACACTGGGGTTGGGAGGCTGTAAATATGGTGGATGGACCGGAGCCAGGGCAGTCACACGGTAGAGTAAATGCTCAGTGGCTGTGCCCTGTTTTACAGCACTTGCACGGCTCGATTGTGCCTCATTCAGCCAGGCGTTGTCTAACTTGATAGAACATGGCAGCAGATGCAGATGCAAATGAGCCTGCAAACCTGTGACAATGATTCAGCCTAGGCAAAACAGGTTGCTTCATAAACAAAGGAACAGAGCTTAAAGGGGACCTATCATGCAAAATGCACTTTTTGATGTCTTTTATAGATGTGTCCCCGGTGTGTCAGGGAACTCACGAAGTGTCAGAAAATAAAACCCTCTCTCTTTTCCTCCGTACCCAAATCTCTAAAAACGGTGCTACAACGGAGCTGATTTGCGTCCGATATGATGTAATATCGGACATGCGGACCCACGGCACTATCAGAAACAATGCCCGACAGTTTTGAACGTAATATGGTCTTTGTTTACATTAGCAAGCATCGCTAACACTCAGAGCTAACCTGTACTGGAGAGAGTATGTGTACATGAGCAGGAAATAAAAAAAGGTACTCACCTTGTGGTAAACCCGCGAGAGAGAAAGCATTTGAGACCCCGACTTTTGAGAGAGCGAAAGGTCACAGATTACCCATCATGCCTGGCTGTCAGAGCAGAAGAACCTGGCCGTTTCTCAATCTCGAGGATTCTGGCTTCCAAGCGAATATTTCAACGATACTACGTCATCGAGTGCCGCAGAAGGACTGTTCCAATCTCCAGCATACTTGGAATTCCACGAGGCCGCGTCCTTGGTTTGGGGGAAATTTCGAGGCTGCACATGGGTAGACTTCACATCCTTCAAATCCCCACAATGCTTTGCGCACGGACCAATTTCCCCAAATCTGTGGCGGAAAATGTAAGGCGGGGCCTCTCATATGACGCACACCTGCACACTTGCTAGCCTGTTCCACTCTTCGTTTTCCGAATGCCAGGAAGGATTCTTGCCTAGCTTCTGAAGGAAGTGACTCGGAAGACATGTGCTACCAAGCAAGCATCCTCGCGATTGAGAAACGGCCCCTGTATGTGCGCTCATAGAGCATGCGCAGTTGAGTTGTCCCTTAAGCCCCGCCCCCCGAGCTCCCTCTCTCGGCTCAGTAGAATTCATTAAAATAAATCTAGATTCTGCTTTTAGTGCATTTTACAGCTTTAAGGACCTAATGATTCTAATAAGGGCTATAAAATAGTTCATACTGGGTAGTTTATTTAGTTTAAAAAAAATTATCCTTTGATTTACAGACGTCTCTTTTCCCATGTTAGTCAATGGGAAAAAGTATTTCTGGGCCCAGTGACGTCACGGACTGATACGGAAATTGTAGTACCGCCGTTTGGACACTACTAATTTTTTTCTCAGAGTCCGGAGCACTTCCTGGGGGCTTGCCCCGAACCTGCAGTTCTCTAACAGGGCTGAAATAGAGGGATATGAGGGATGTCTAATCAAATCAAATCAAGTTTTATTTATATAGCACATTTAAAAGCGATTTTTGGTCGAGCCGTGCTGGACATGTAATAAAAACACATTAGTACAATCACAATAAAAGACAATACAAGTCTAAAATGCATGATCTGTTTTGTATTTCGTGCAAAACACATCATAGACATGTTTTTTATATATTTTTATATATCTGAGACCCATAATATATGCCTAAAAATAGCATACTAGGAGACCTTTAAAACGTGTGATCAT